TATTCCTGACATGTGTGTGTCATCTGCTCTTGCCAGTTCCCGCGATAAGGTATACTGTGAAATCAATTAAGGGTACTACCGACCAGTGCCATGTATTTTAATTTATGCTCCAGCCTAAAGATTGTGGAGTGTAACTAAGGTAAGTCTTTTTACTAATTGAAATTTATAGAAATAGTAAAGCAAGATTAGAAGCATGGAATATACAAAAAAAGACAAAAACAAATGGCCTCTGAATATATCAAACGTTTTTGCAATTTAGATAAATTACTTTGAAATTATTAACAAATTTTGATGCTTAAAATTTAGCAGTTAACTTCTTAGCACTTTGACCAATGTATTAAATGTTCTCTTATGAGGTACTGGGTATTACCCTTGCAATATGTCTTCATTGACCACATTTAACATTGTATCTATCAGTATTAATAAATGGGATTATATTCATGTCATCTTTAACTGTGTTCTCTTGGAAGAGCTAGAAAAATTAAATGAACATGCAAAATGTAATTCCTGTTTGATATTATAAATGATAGATTTAACCTTTTTAGGAAGCATTTTTTTCTTGCAAAATCATAACCATAACATAATGCAAGATGTTTTTAAGACCTGTCATAAACTGGATAACTCTTCTTGATTATTTTTCTTTTCTTTTTATAAAATTTCGTATCTTAAATTTTTATTAAGGTTGTTACAGTTTGTGGCAAAATGGAGTCTAAATGTGGAATTGTGTTATATTAATTTTTGCAAGCCCTTTAACTTTTTTTTAGCATTGGGCAGTTTCTTTGAACTAGTTCAGACTGTAACTGTCGAACAGTTGATTCATATAATAAATAACAGTGACAGATTAAACGTATTTCATTGCATTATTTCATAATGTCCTACTGTATAGTCCATGTTGTTATTATTATTATTATTTTTTTTTTTAACTTTTAGGTTTTCCTCTCTTTGTCCTACCATGGCATAAACAAGCTGGAAGAAAATACCCATTCTTGTGGTATGGAAAAAAAAAAGATTTGCCAACTCAAACTGTTTAAGTATCTTGGAAGGAATCATGTTCCACCACATGACCTTTGAAAGGTTTTCAAGTCAACATTATGACCTCACAGTGTCTACACATATTACAGGTGGAAATCAACAAGAATGGGTTTTACATTGTGAAATTATCAAATCCATAATGCAAACTGGATCAGAGCACAGAACAGCAGACTAAGTTGGAAGTCATCATATTTGTTATGACATATATTCTTTTAGAACATTCATGCAATTTTTAATAAATCTCAACTACATGTACCTCTATTTACTTATTACATTAGACATTAAGTAGCATTGTATTACCTCATAGGTGTAAATTTATCATATGTATTTAGTTTTACTCTTCTACTCTATAGTAATAAAGGAAAAGATTTATGCATAAGTACCAGCAACAAGACATTTTATTATGAAGTTGACTAAAAAATTATAATAATAATATATGTAATATACATATAAAGTGAAGAATAAAAAATGCATTTTAAACCTTTCAAAGTGTAACGTCTTGTGTACACACACCTTTTCTCTGAGAAAAAAATTAATGGAAGTTCTTTAGATATATAAGTAATGATGCACATGTCAAATTTAACCTATATCTCCCCTATATTTAATGCTAATCAAAATAAAGCTCTATAGGGACAGCACAGGGATCAAAATGTCTGTGCATGTGCAAAAAGTGCACTTTTTGAAATGAAAAAATTCTTGCTACTAGCACTGAGTAATTTCACTATCATTAAGTGTTTTAATGCCTTCACTTGGTGACTATAAACGAAATTCAAATATGACTTTTCATGAAATGTCTTGTCTGTTTTTGCAAACCTCTCCCTCACTAAGAGAACAATGTCAGAACAGACGAGAACACAAACACTTTATAGACTTCCAAAAATCACATGTAATCATTTATTCACTTCATTCTCTTTTTATACAGTATTCCATAATTTGTGCCATAAATCTTGTTTCTAAAACATTGGCAAATACATATGAATATTTGGTGTCATTTTTTCCTTGACATATCAATTCCTCAAAACAATTTCAGTACCTTGCTGATTCAATCAAAAAGGTATTGATTCAACATTACCACAGACAGCTGAACACTTGCGTCATTTCTCTTCTAAAAAAAATTAAGGAATCTTTCCATGGTGTTATAGCATGCTGGAGTAGCACTAGCTTTTTGCTTAGAAATATCACTACTTTTTCATCAATTTTTTTCTCCAAATGATTTTTATTCGACTAAGGCAAGTCAAATCAACCCTATTTTGTTTACCTAATTTAAGTCAGTTTTAGGATTTGGCTAAATTGGCAATTGAGAGTGCTACCTCAGTCATGTTTCACATTATATATACCTAGAGCTTATGATGGTGTCCTCTCACTTTTAAATAATCTTTGCCATTTCAGAATGTCACCATGAAAATGAAATCCGTGCGCGGGACCCCATCCGCTGCCGGGAGTGTGGATATAGGATCATGTACAAGAAGAGAACAAAAAGAAGTATCCTTTTTAGACCAAAAAAATGCATACATTTCTATAAAGTCAATCTGCATAATTAATTCATCTAAAAAAAAAACAATGGGCTAGTTCTTAAAACAAAATCATACATGTATACCGCTAGCCAACTTTGAAGTAATATATTTATGAATAAATTTTTTAAGGGACAAAATTACAGTTTATTCTATTGATTGATATTACTCTTGGGTTATATGAGGAATGTCCTTTTCTTAATACGCACATTTGTTTTAAATTCAGAGAATATTTATTATTGAACTGATTGTCAATGAAAATCTCTCCTCAGATGTTTTATGAATGTTTTGTTTTCCTTAACTGCTATCACAGTGGTTGTATTTGATGCTCGGTGACATTTTCATCAGGATAACAACAGAGACTTTGAACAGATTGACTTGAAACAGTAACTCTCTTAAGCAGGTATTAACCAAGGGAGAGACAAAAATCTTGAGATATTTTCATGGCTGTGACAAACACTGGTTCAAAAGAATGGCACTTTCTTGTTACGTGCCAGCTACAAGTCAGTACCAGCTGTGGGGAGAAAAAGGCATTTTGTTGAATAGTTGCTTCTGTGTCGACTGCAAGGAAAACATGATATTTGCATCGATCTGAACTATAGAATGTGACAGTTAACATTTTATGTAAAAGTAAAAATGTTAGAAAGCCCCAAGTTTCCCCCCAATAAAGTTCAACAGACCATTTGATCTTTCCAGTTTTCATTTTTTTTTAAATAAATAAATGATTATATAATAAAATTGCTGTTAAAAGTTTATTTCATTTAAACTTTTTTACGGTATTTCTATTTGGAAATTTTTAAAATTTGAAACATTTTACATATTGTTACTTTCAAACATAAAAGATGAGAATGTATTAAAGATATTTGCAGGTCCAATTTTGTATGTAACAACACAAATTTCATAACTGCCAGTAAATGACAAAAATGTACAAATTGTATCGTATAAGGTTGATGTTCCATGAAGTTTTATTAACATCCAAAACCTTTTCAAATGCAAAGAACAAGATAACTTGGCAACACTGAAAAATAAATTGTTCATGAAAAGGTCTTTTTGCTTTAAATAGAGGTACAGAAGCTTTTGGTTGTGAACAGTCTTTGATTCGAAGGACTGCTCTCATGTAGGTTTGTTGGCAAGGTCAACACAATTCATGTTGTGTTAGTTGAGCTGTGTGTAATGTGTGGCGCAATCTAGGAAGAGAGCTGTCACGGTGGATTCCGTACTTGTGTATCTCCGTGTCAGTAAGCTGAAGACGATAACTTGATCAACCAACGCCTTATTCGGGTGCGTCTTTAAAACGACGGAATTTTGAAATTGGCAACTAATTATTTAAGCAGATAAATCAATAAAAAAAAAAACCTTCGCAAGTGGTATCATATAAAATGCGCATCAACAATAACAGCAAAAAAAAAAAAAAAAAAAAAAAAAAAAAAAAAAAAAAAAAAAAAAAAAAAAAAAAAAAAAAACTCCACAATGGATGCGGCACATTTCTTTCGCCATATCCAAGGATTTCATTTATTATTATTTCTTTTTAAATTTTTTGTGATAGAAAATACCAATAATCCTGCAAGGAATTGAAAAATGCCTTTTGTCTGAGCAGGTGGTGCAAAAAGAGATCAGGCGATTTTTCTCCAACGCAATGCAATTACGCAGATGTTTTTCGATTTGCGTTCTATATTTTAATAACAAAGGAGGGTTGGGATGGAGAAACAGATAAGAAATGACATGTTTTGATTATTTTGTAATTCGTACTTTTGATTTAATGTTTTGCAATAACAGTACTGATATAGACCTAAAGGCCAAATAAAAACGATTTCAAACTGTACATCTGCAAGTATGCCAAAGATAAAAAGCATGTAAAAAATTCTCTATTTTTTTAAAAAAAAAATTGAAAATTTTTCGTCGTTGTCATAAGGTCTAGACTTCTGTGTGAGAGAGAAAATCCCCAGAAAACGATCGTTGGAAAATCAAGTTGCGTCATTTTTTCATTGATTGGGAAAATCCACGCTTGCTTTGTTCTCAAAACAAAGCAATACTGAATCGTGCACATTAGAAAAATGGACGCAGGGTATGCGGTGTGATATAACATCACCACATTCCTTGTCTGAAAAATATTTGCAGGACTCCAGAAATATTTGTGACGCAAAACAGATTTTGTTGACAACTTTAAAAGTGGTCGACTTTTGTTACTCCATATATGGCAGTTACTACACGTGGACTATTTCTCTTGCGTCACGTATGTTGTTTACCTACTAGTTCACTCCCGTTGTCTCCAAAAAAATAGTGCGACAAAATTCATTGATTGCCGTAAAACAAATAAAATTATACCCTAAACCATTATTATGATTACAAGGGTTTTAAATACGTGTTGAAAAACTACCTAAAATATGAATTTTGCCAAGATATTAAATTTATTTTTGCGCACGCAATTTCCCTCCAGCGCATTGATCTGATGACGTAGTTCCGGGTTGGGTCAGTAAAGGTGAATCACACGTTGCCTTTATTCACAATGGCAACGTCGTCGTTCGTGGCGTCATACGAATTTTAAACCGGGAGGGGAGACAGTACAGTCCCTTCCCACTAAGTTACATCTTGCAGATCGCCATCGACGTTTCTGAGCACCCGAAGTCGGAGTCTTTGCCTACAAACGAAGCCAGAAAATCAGAGCTGAAGGAACGTGACCGCCAGCACAGTGTGTCAGTAAGGGTGACTAATCCGTACCTTGTTTCATCAGACGGATGCAATACGAAGTAAAAGGGTGACTCTATTTCAGTATAGTCAGCAATATTCCATTTTACCACCACATGTGTAACGCTGACCTTTTTACGGATCAAGACCGGACCGGATTATAGGACTACGTTTATACCGAACGCCGATCACCGTCTCACGTACTGTTGCTTTCCAACTCTTATTCGGAAACGCAGTTTTTATTACCATCAAAGTATTCGCGAAAGTTCCAGCTTAGAATGCTGGATAATTAAGTCATCTAAGTACATGATCAGGGAGCTCTGTTATTTATTCCACTTTATGAACAGCGACTGAGCGGTTGTTTAGGTTCGCACGTGGTGGACACAAAGAACGCAAGAGACAATAGTCATTGTGTTAATAGGAGTGTCTCATCGTCTATCTTTACTTCAACTCATCACATCGGACTTTAAGGGATCGCGGTGAAAAAGAGAGACAACCAGCTTGCTCAGTTTTTAAACATAATCCTCTGGAGTAAGCGAAGAAATTTGGGGAGATAAACAAAATAAATTCCCACATGAGCGTGCGACGCACAAGGCCAAGGCCGATCATAATTCCAAATGCTCGAAAGAATGTGGACTTACAAACTCCACCCCACTTGGGGAATCTTACCCCAGATCTTCAGCCGAACAGCCCGCCCGTGTTCCCCTGTGCTACCCAGCACGAGGTGGCCAGGCTGGGCCAGTATATCCTCACTGAGCCTCTAGACGGAGAAGACGTATACCAGGCAGTCAATATTCACACACACGAGAAATTTATTTGTAAAGTAAGTATTGGGAATTGTATAAATCTCATTTCCTTATTTCATATGTCAAGCATTTATTGCTGGAGATCTGTATATTATTAAGGGAGTAAGAAAATGAATAGAAACGAAATATTGTGTGGCAATGATATTTTTGATAAAGAAAGTGGGTGACCGATTTACAGAAATTCCTAATGTCATGAAATATTTCCTCGTTTCGAAATATGTTCTCAAAATCAATACACTTTACTTATTGATTATGAATTATGAAGAATGCAATGCATGGGTTTTTACCACATGGCAAATTCCAATATTTAGCAAAAATTACACAACTTGGGTTATGAAATTAATGCCTGATCTTGTGAAATAACAGTCCATGTTGGGTCAGTTTTTGCCCGTGAAGCCATGGAGGGACCAAGCATTTTTGTCCAGTCATGGTATTGCTGACCCAGCTCAGCTGAGCATACATATTGTGCTTGCTTATGCAATCCCGATGCTATGTATTTCACATATGCGTGAAAGCTCTAGAATTTTCCGACATAACATCAGCAGATGTGTTGAGTGACATGCAAAAACTTGTCCCTTTTACGAGTGGCATGATTGGTTTATCTGTGTTGACTTAATTCTCGAAAGGGTAATTTGCGTTCAATACAAGACAAAAGTTGGTGCTCTAATTAGATATTGCATATAAAAAGTCGAGGAAAAAATTGACCACCTGTAGAAAAAATTGCTTGTGAAAGTATAGATATGAAAAGTATTTGAAAGAATGGTAAAGTCATTCGAAATAACCACAAATATAAATTTCTATGTGTGAAATAATTCCAAAGCAATAATTAATCATTAACTGGTATGCTTCATGCCTGTTAAATGAGACGTGAGGCAGGTGCAACCTTTTCCCAGCCCACATGGGAGAGAAAGCTTGTGTTGTTGCTATTCTAAGTACCGTACCCATCTCTAATTAGACCATTATATACCACAGCCTTTGCTAATATTTAGGATGGTAATCGGATTGTATTAAGACAAAGGACATTGGTCAAGGATGATGCAGGGTTTCATGTAGCGGTCAGTGTTTTGTTTCAAGGCCTGGTCAGTGTTTGTTCAGACCAGGCTGTAGTTTAGACAAAGGAAGATGTGGAGTCATCAGAGGTGAATGGAGTGACTACGTGCGCTGATGCTCGCATCTAGTCTGACTCAGGCTTGTGACTGTGATGGGGAAGTGAAGGATGGGGGTGGGGGGGCATGGTTTCAAGAATTATCAAAAATGGATTGTTTTGTGACTTCGACAAATTTTTTCTGCATTGATTATTACTAGGGAATGAGGGGATGGGGGCTTAGTTTCTTTTTTTTCTCAAATTGGTGATCTCTGGTGAATAAATCCAAATAATTATCAAACATGAATTGTTTTCAGACTTTGAAAAAAAAATGAATAGTCAAAGTTGTAGACATATGCCTGGGCTGTAATGCAACCCTATTTTATAGCTGCTGAATATAAATTCCTGTAGATGCTGTTTTAGTGCCGTGTTACATGAATGATGCAGCACCAGTATGCGATGCATCAACCTTATCAGATCTCCTTTGGCTGATGTGTAATGTCACACCCAAGTGAATTATTTGAAGCATTTTATGTAAAAATGACCTCAGTTATCAACATGTGCATTTTTTCTAGTCATCTCTCGGCTTGTATATTTAGTGTTTTTATTTCTGCACCTGCATTGGCGTGAAAAAGGGATAGGGCTTCAATAAAAACAAATAATGTTGTTATTAGCAATGAAATATATCAATAAATAAGGCCATGTGTCAGCTGGCAGTGGTTGTGGCTTCTGCCCGCACTTCCTCTCGTGCCTGTATTAGTGGAGAAGAGCTTTGACATTTCCGTTTATCATTGTTTTTCTAAACTACTATATCCGGTGTTATTGTAGACCCTGAGGGGAAGGGGGGGCGTTACGTCAAGGCATGGTGTAGCCGCCTGCTTCAGATGTTACATAAATGTCAGTTCTTGTCTGTCTGCATGTTCTGCGTCATGATTAAGTCATTGTTATTTGTTGTATTATTTTTTTGTGCACACAGTTTGTATTGATAGCAGGTGCAGTATTTCATCAATCGTGTCTGTTTTTAAACAAAGAAGTGATAAAACATGCTATACATCCCACAGGGTATTTGATTCTACTCAGAGTGATTTAACGTTCGAGATGTAGCTTCATTTTGTTTCTTTTTTCCTCTTTGTCCCTAGGTATATGATATCCATGCGTATCGCCAGCAGCTGCGAGCCTACTGGAGCGTGGACTACGATGCTGACTGCATCAACCACATCACGGAAATCATCCTCGGCGAGACCAAAGCCTACGCATTCTTTGAGAAAAACTTTGGTGACCTGCACACACACGTGCGTAATGAACGTAAACTCAAAGAGCGAGAGGCCAAGAAGCTATTTGCTCAAATCGTGCGCGCTGTGCAGAGATGCCACGAAAATGGGATCGTCCTGCGCGACCTGAAGCTGAGGAAGTTTGTGTTTCAAGATGAATTGAGGTGGGTGGTAGTGCACTTAGGCCATTTATTTATTATTTATTGATTTATTTTCTTGCACAACACTGCAACAACAAATGAAACTCGGCCAATCAGATACCTGGGGGTCTGATATGCCTTTCATTTAGAAAACATCGGAGATAAGGGTGCCCTTATGTCAGTTATATTAGGTACAAATTTTAGATAAAAAAAAAGTTCTATCCTTATATGGAGGATGGGAATTTTTCGTAAAGTTTTCTTTTAATAAGTTGCTGTGGTCGAGTACAGTTTTCTTAGATAATTTACTCATTTTATTCCATGTGCACTCTTTTGTGTCGGTGTGAATCATGGAGTCAATGAAGGAAGTAAGAAAGTCTGGCTTCAGTTATGCCATGGATCTGTGTTTAAATGAAAGTGCACAGAGTGAAGGAGTGTAGCTGCCCTGTGGACCAGTCTCAGGTTCTTGACTCCACATGTAGATTGAAATTACTCTCATATTTTCACTTTCTCCGGTTGCCTTGGGTGATTACCTTCCTGAAATATAGTACAGGTAAACCAGCGAACCAGGAAGTAAGGCCAGACTTTCTTGCGGTTCAGGTGGAGTCACAAATTCAAATATATACATTTTTTCTTCCTGGTTCAAATCTTTAACCGTTGCACAACCTACATGTTATCAGGTTTTGGTAGTGAAGTTATACTGTTCTTTTCAACGAGGTTCAAGTCCACGTTTGGTTGCCTATGTGCCAAGACGGCAATAAAATCAGACACACTAGTGACACTGAGCATGCTTTGTATTTAAATTAATAACATGTCACAACACTTCTCTGTGTGCTGTTAATGAAGGTCCATTACCAATGAGAGAATCAGTCGGGGTAACTACCCCAGTATAACAAGTGACACACTGACAGAGTTGTATATATTAGGATAGTTCCTGGTACCAGCTAGGGTGCAGAGAGAGGGCAGTGTGTCCCTTTGTGAGCTTTCCCCTGTCTCCGACTGGTCCTATGTCATTACCTCCGCCTATATAATTACTGGGCCCAGATAGGGAGACAGAGAGGTTTTTTGTCTACGTTAATGACATAGCACGGGTCTTAGGTTTTTGAGTGGGAGGACGTGGATAACTCTCTTGTTTCCTGATTTGTTTTGTGATCGTTTGCAGCTTCTTCACGTGAAAGTGAAAGAATTTATATGAAAATATCAGGCTTACATTGCTGTGCTATGTGTAGTTATGGAAAAAGAAAAATGAAATGTTATTATGTTTTCTCAATTGTTTTCCCTATGGCTTCCTGTATTATTAAAGCTCAGATATTAATGTTGAAACCCCCCTGAAGTGCCCCTGGTGTTGTTTAAGCAATGTCCTATTAGTCGTAATTATGTGACCTACTTTGTATTAAGGCGTAGATCTGGGCTTGTAGCAGTGGACTGACCCGCATTCTTTCTGTGGCTGCACCTTATGTGTCCGTGTGAAAGGTCGGTAAACAAAATTAATGACTGACCACTTTCTGGGTCTGAATTTTTTTTAATGAAAAATGTATTGGAAGGCCTCATCAAATGTAAGTGAAATTTCTCAACGTTAGATTTTTCATGAATGTGGAAAGATATTTTTTAAGAGCTTGTTCTTGTGAGGATTATGTGTCCTGACGGAGGAATGAGTTTCACAGAAATCAATTTTCCTGGAAGTAGAGGCGAGGAAGCCGGGGACATGAGTTGCTTAGTAACAAAACCTAAGACTTAACTCTTGTGGATAATTAGCCATTTGTCAGTTTTGATTGTGGAATTATGAAGTGCAAACACATCCTGTGGATGTTAGGCAGACTACACCGACATTTTTCCCCATCTTGCTAGTACAATATTTTGGGATCCATTCGTCATATCTTTTTATGGAACTATTGACACATTTTCAGGACTGAAAATAGATTTACATAAGACGTGATTCTGAGAACTGTCAATGGTCATTGTCTGCGTTTTCCCCCCCTTGATTTATCAGTTGGCAAAAAAAAATCATCTACTGTGCAGCATAAAATGCTTGAACACAACCCTTGGAAAACGTCCAGTCATTTCCATGAAATATTATATGGCACCAGCATCAGCTGTTCCATGGAGGCAGATAAATAGAGAATACCACAATGTTGATACGGCCAACTGATTTACTGTTGCCATCTCTTCCTGGCTGGATCGATTTCTTCCTGGCTGGATCGATTTTTGTTACTGTCGAATTGAGCTGGTGTCCTGGGATTCCGCGAGAGATTAATTCTCTCCCAGGCCGCTGGTCGTCATTAACTGCTTCGTTGTCTCTGTGTTTCTGATGTTTTAATTAGTAGGTCAGATGCAGCGGAGCAATTAATTTCTTAGTTTGGGAAGATGGTTATTTGTATGCCTGCATGTTTCAGGCTTGAAAAAGTTCCAGTTTCTTTCCTGGTGAAACTTGCAGACCCTTGGGTGATTCAGAGCATTTTCCAATTTATATGTGTCTTAATCTCATTTAATTACACACACAAACACACAGAAAAAAGTTTTGAAATTTTTCTGAGAATCCCTGATATAGATGCTCTTTAAACGTGATACACAATAAAGCAATTGAGAAAGAGAATACAAGCAAGTCTTAAAATAGATATCCTGTGGGAAAGAAAATCAATAAACCACAAAAAAGTGAAAACAAATTCTCTTGTCTTAAAGGGCATTTCACTGGAAATATTGCTAAATATTTCGATCAATTTGTGTTCTAGTCACGTAAATCACTTTTCTTGAACAAAAATATACTGGTGAAATAATATGTTCATCCGGTGCTGTAAACACACCTGTTTTTAACAGCCAGAAAGGAAATAAATAGATTTTGGAAGAGTCTTATTTGACATCGGCATATCTGGTAGAGATAAAGGAAGATCTCTCCGCTGTGTGTAAGTTTGGAAGTACTGAGGTGGGTGCAGATGAACCTGGGCTCCCTTGAAGGCTGTGGAGCACTGCTCACTTTTTGTGTGTATTCATACAAAAATATCCCCGTCTGGCATACAATACAACATTGTTTATTTGCAACCTCATTTGAATTTAGTCCCCCATCCCCCTCCTAATATTGCTGTGGTTGCTAGTTTTATGGCTTGAAACTAGGTTCATGATCCCAAAAAATGCATTTCTCAGTAAAGAAGTGGTTATTATAGCATGGTGTTAGTTTTCTGTGAATTAAGGTAATCAGAGATGGTGATAATTGTGAGATTTTTATTTCACCTCACCTGGAAGTAAGGGAAGGGTAGGTGTAAATGAAGTTTTTCAATAGTACTAAAATCAGCAGCAGGAAAATGTGATTTTAATCAGGATACGTTTTGACATACAATCAAGACTGTACTTGTATAGTTCTTCTACAGAGTTTAGAATCCAGTTGGAGCGATTTTGATGCTTAAAAATCTTTTTAAAAAAACAGTACACTCCTTTTGGGGATCAGAAAATATAAAGATATTTGTAGTCGTATTGAAATTTTCTTCTTTTCTTTGCACCTGAGAAATTTTTGGTATATGAGTCAAGCGATTATACACCTATCACTGCTATGTTAATGGCCGGGCCTCCATGTAGGCATACTGGCAATGTCCCAATGTAAGCAACTCCAGGAAGATATGAGCTTGCAAGAGGTGAAGGCCTCTTGTCAGTCAAATATTTATAAGTGTTTCTATTATTGTTTTTCTTCATCAGTGATGGCGGGCTGCCTGGTGTGCGTGCGTGCATAAGGCTTTCATGTATCGGAAAGCTTTCCAGATTTTATCTCCAGTACTGCTGTTTTATTGCCAGGTTTGCTGTTTTACCCGATATTACAAGGCGCTCTTCACTGTGGCTGGCTTATACTGGCACCAACATAGCTATCATGGTCATCTTGGTTATCATGGTCAACACACAGTAAACAAATGAAAATAAATTACTGATTACGTGGAAAGAGGATAACATGTTTTTGTTCTTATATCTGGTGTGAAATGGGACAGGAAAGTACGTGTGTGGGATATATATGGACAACTTCAGTATTTGCTTCTTCGACATTTGCTCATTTAGATATTTTGTTGCAAATGGATTAAAAATGAAAGGGATGCTGTTGTGATGAAAGATAAATGGAGAAGTGTCTGCTGTTGTGTTGTGTGTCGTGTGCACTGAGGCCATCAGAGTGCACCGTGGCGTAAAAACCTCGGATCCATTATGTTGATAGTGCTGACCAGCAATACAAATCACCCCCATGACGTATTTATGATAAAATGAAGGATGGCACGTCCTCCGTCATAGCATACGTTTACTGTAATGTATTCTCTGATCATTTGATGCAGACATGTGAGGTTTGTGTGGAGGGTTGGGGCGTGGCGTGGCGTAGGTTGATGTGGCCGAGTGCGATATGGGTGGTGCAGAGATCCTCACTGCTGATAGAGATCTTACACATAAATATTTTGTGGAGGACACATTTTTAGGAATATGATAATGAATTTAAATGAGAATTGCAACTGAAATTTTGTAAAAATAAAGAATAACAAAATGGTGCAAAAAAAAAAAAAAAAAAAGATAACAGATTTAATTAAATGGGATAATTTTCTTTCTCTCTCTCTCTCTCATTAAATAAACAATAGTTGGTTAGGATAATGTCACATAATTTGGTTTCATCTTGACCTCCAAATGACCAGCAGCAGCAGCTGGTGTTACCTGCGGTCAGCCCTCATCAAAGGTCAGATAATTTATGGCCTTATTTACCCCCCCCCCACACACACACACACACACACACACACACATTAAGACAAGTTGGAATTACTTATTCAGTAAGTGCTGGACGCCCCATTTACAGGCAACGGACTGGATAATGAATATTTTCCAGATAATTCAGCAACTGGTTTGATCCAGTCTTCTGACTGGTTTTTGAGAGGAAATATATTGGATCTCAAAGTCTTGCCTTATTACGTTCCAGAATTTGGACTGTGTTAAGAGAACGCATAGAAATGTCCACTTAATATGTGCAACTCAGTTGGATACACTCCAAGCTCATTGAAAAGAAAAAGTATGGTTTT